ACAGGGAATGCAATAGTAAAAGGGTAGTTGATCAATTCCATGGAACCTGCTATCATGGGATTTTTTATTCACCTGCGTACTGCTAAAGAAGTTTGGGAAGAGGTGGCTCGGACCTATTATGATGGTTCAGATATTTCTCAGATTTATGAATTGAAGGTTAAATCTTTCAGACTTCGTTAAGATGGTCGGCCAGTTGGTGTCTATTATGCTGATCTCAAGTCCGTTTGGCAGGAGCTAGATTAACGGAGACCAATCAAGATGGAATGTGATGTGGATCTCAAGACACTTCGAGAAGAAATTCAAATTGATCGTGTGTATGCTTTTTTGGCGGGTTTGGATGATGTATTTGATAAAGTGCGTAGTGATATTTTACGTACTCAGCCCTTACCATCTGTTGAGGAGGTGTTTTTTGTTGTTCGGCGTGAAGCTCAATGACATGCTACTATGATGGGTGGAAGTAACAATCAAAGAGGGCTGCCGTCCATGGCCATAATCTCCCAGCCAGCTGGTGCTCCTCGTCCTAGTAATTCTTCTAATCAATCTTTAAATTCTCATCATTTCAATCGAGAAAATAAAGATGATTTGAAGTGTACTTTCTGTGGACAAACCCATCATACTGAGGATAGGTGCTTTGCTAAGCATGAGGTGCCTAATTGGTTTCCAGAATTGAAGAAAAAATTGTGTGCTAAGGAGCGTGGAGCAGTAGGGTCCAGTGGAAGCCGTGTCTCCCTTGCTGCGGCTACACCAACAGTCCAGGAATCCGTGCTTAACCCTAGTGACTCTAGTCAAAATTTGTTGACTCATACTCGGGGTGACTCGTCTTCTGACACAGGTATCTTGGGACGTGTTCTCTTAGCCTTCGAAACTCAGCACCATACAGGTTGGATTCTGGACTCTAGGGCAACGAATCATATGACATATGATAAAAATATGTTTCAATACATGACTACATTTCACAGAAAAAACATAACAACTGCCAATGGTACTTTGGCACCCGTGTGTGGTGCAGGCACTGTGCATCTCACCCCATCACTCCCCTTACATTATTGCTTTCTTGTTCATTCTTTAACCCATAATTTGTTATCCATACCATAGGTTATTGAAAAATTGGATTGTGTTGTTCTAATGTATCCATCCTTTTGTCTACTTCAGGATATTCAGACCATGGAGATAATTGGGCGTGACACTAAGAGAGATGGGTTGTACTATATGGACGACGTCGTTCCTGGCAGAGCTAATGCCGTTCGAGCATCCCGGTTTAGTAATTTACAAGAAGTGTGGTTGTTGCATCGTCGGTTAGGGCATGCATCTTTTGGGTATTTACGGCATATGTTACCTAGTCTATTTAGTGGAATAAATGAATCAGACTTACATTGTGAAGTATGTATTCTTTCTAAAAGCCATCGTGCTTTGTTTTCTCCTAGTATGAATAAAAGAGCTTTACCATTTGAACTTGTGCACTTTGATGTTTGGGGACCTTCTCCTGTTGTTACTTCTTCTAGGATTAAGTGGTTTGTGACGTTTGTTGATGATTGCACTCGTATGACGTGGCTATATGTGTTAAAAAATAAAAGTGATGTTGGTATGGTATTTCGATTTTTTTCTCAGATGATTCGGACACAATACTCGTATGTGATTAAAGTTCTCCGTTCTAATAATGGTGGTGAGTATATTAATCTTGAGTTGTTGAAGTTCTATGTGATCAAGGCATTTTCCATGAAACAACTTGTCCCCATACTCCACAGCAAAATGGTGGCTGAAAGGAAAAATCGCCATATCTTTGAAACGGCGAGTGCTCTACTTCTAGGAGCATATGTTCCTAAGGTATTTTGGCCTGAAGCTATCACTTATGCCGTGTACATGATTAATCGTATGCCCTTTCGGGTGGTTGATTTTCAAACTCTTCTTCAAGTTCTGACTCAACATGTTCCAGTGGTGTCTACCAATACTCTCACCCCTCGGGTATTTGGGTGTGTGGCGTATGTGCATATTCAAAAGATTCATCGTACTATGTTGGATCTATGTGCTCTCCGATGTGTGTTTGTTGGTTTCTTCTCTCACCAAAAAGGGTATAAATGTTATCACCCTAAGACTCGCCATCTGTATGTTACCATGGATGTGACTTTTTCTGAGTCGGAGTTATTTTATGCTCCCGTATCTTCATCTTCAGATCACCAGGGGGAGAGCACTAGTGGTGATCTGGAATGGTTGGATCTAGAGAGAAACACTATGGTAGAGATCACACTTGCCGTGCATAATAGGACTTAGGAGAATGATACTATAGCAGAGATCACTAGTGTTGTACATGATAGGAATGAGCTCATTGCAGTACCATCAGAACAACCACGGCAGTCACTTGCCGAAGGTAGTATGGAGTCACGACAATAACTTGCCAAGAGCAGTATAGAGTCACGACAACAACTTGCTGATTCTGCTGATGTACCCCTTATCTCTCTAGCTATACAATGCTGCCTAATTAATCTTCTCTGGATATACCTGAGGTAAGTATTGTGGATGATTATGTAACTAATGCAAGTAATGATGTAAATATATATAAGCTGCCACCGAGACAAAATCGAGGTGTGCCACCTGACGAGTTTTCTCCGGAAGGTAAAGTGAAGTATCCAATAGCTAACTATGTCTCGTGCAATGGTCTTGCACCAGAGTGCAAGACCTTGGTGGACAATACGGAGTCTATTCGAGTACCAACCCGTGTGGAGGAGGCTCTAATAGATCCAAAGTGGGCAAAAGCAATCAATGAGGAAATGTGGGCATTACAGAAGAATAATACCTGGGAGGTGGCGTCTTTAAAAAAAAAATAGTTGGATGTCGATGGGTGTTTACTGTCAAATAAAAAGCAGATGGATCAATAGACAGGTAAAAAGCAAGGTTGGTAGCTAAAGGATACACCCAAACATATGGTGTAGATTATCATGAAACGTTCTCTCCGGTGGCCAAGATGAATATGGTACATGTTTTGATATCTTTAGCTGCTAATATGGACTGGCCATTAAAATAGTTTGATGTGAAAAATGCTTTCCTCCATGGGAATTTGGAGGAAGAAGTATATATGGATTTTCCTCATGGGTACAATGTTGGTAGAAATACCGGAGTTTGTCGGTTGCGTAAGTCTCTTTATGGACTTAAGCAATCACCTCGTGCATGGTTTGATATGTTTACTCAAGTTATGAAAAAGATTGGGTATTATCAGAGTCATTCTGATCATACATTGTTCGTTAAACGAAGACAAGGAAAAGTGATAGCCTTAATCATCTATGTAGATGACATGATTATCACTGGAGATGATTTTGATGAGATTTCAAAGGTACAGAGTAATCTTGCGGCTGAGTTTGAAATGAAGAACCTAGGGGATTTGAAGTATTTTCTTGGAGTTGAAGTTGCTCGATCTTCGAAAGGTATTTTCTTGTCACAACATAAGTATGTTTTGGATTTGTTAAAAGAAACTGGTATGCTGGGATGTAAGCCAGTAGATACTTCTATTGTTGAAAAACATCATCTATGTTTGGATCCGAATTAGAAATCAGTTGATAAAGGGAGATATCAGAGACTTGTAGGGAGACTAATTTATTTGGCTCATACACGACCAGATATTGCCTATGCAGTGAGTGTAGTGAGTCAATTTATGCATTCACCGAGTGTAGATCATATGGCTACTGTTATGTGTATCTTAGCATATTTGAAGTTTGCACCTAGAAAAGGAATTTTATATCGAAAGCATGGACATTTGAGGGTTGAGGTTCATAGATGCTGATTGGGCAGGAAGTGTGAGTGACAGACGGTCTACTTCGGGATATTTTACTTTTGTAGAAGGAAATTTGGTTACATGGTGAAGTAAAAAACAGAAGGTGGTATCGAGATCCTCAGCTGAGGCCGAGTATAGAGGGATGGCTCACGGCATTTGCAAGATTCTCTGGCTTTAAAAACTTCTTGAGGGGCTTGGGTTCAAGCCAAAGGAGACCATGAGACTATATTGTGATAATAAATCAGTGAAAGATATAGCTGATAATCCGGTACAGCTTGATAGGACCAAACATGTGGAAGTTGATCGACATTTTATTAAAGAGAAACTTGAGAGGAAGATTGTGTTAATACCATTTGTGAATTCGGAGGAGCAACTTGCAGATGTTCTAACTCATGCGGTATGTAGTCGAAAGTTTAATGACTCACTTGTCAAGTTGGGCATGTATGATATCTATGCACCAACTTGAGGGGGAATGTTAGTCGTGAGTCAATATTAGGAAAAAAAGAAATGTAAATACTAGGAGTCCTTTATTAGGTAGGTTTGTTTATAAGCTTTATTATTTGTTTCCTTGTTGAACAATGATTGTACATGTATATATTTCAAAAGAAGCAATACAAGAAATTATCCCGTAAAAGTTCTATTGTTCATGATCCAAAGACTCAAGAATATCCTTGAGCACAGAAGTGATCGTTGATGGGATCATTCCTTGTTCAGTAAGAAGTTTCAATGCTGAAGTGAACTTTTCATAAGCCCTACCTTCGCAGAGAGCGACTAGGCTACTCCTTACGTAGAAGCTCAGAGTGTCTAAGGTAGTCAAAGCCTCAGCTGATGGTTTACTGGCAGAAAGGGACTAAAGTAGTTATTCAGCAGTAAAGAGTCTCATCAGTGTCAAGTTATCTTTCAAAGAAGGGCCTTTAAGGTCTTCCATTTGCTTTACAATTTCCATGCCAACTGTCTCATTTCCAAAATCAGATGTCTTGGACTCTAAGCTAACATGGGCAGCGTGCATCGCAATCCAAAGATCAGAACAAAAATTAAACTTTATATGGATTTTGGATTCTTAATTATTACCTCTTTGGGTGGAGTAGGCTCTGCCTGGGACTGAGAGGTTGGCGAAAAAATAGTTAATGCTGTGGTCTCTGTTGAAGTTTGCTTGTTTTAGGTGCTTTTGATTAAGTGTTATAATTAGTTTCTTAGGGTTAGAATAGCAGAGAATGGAGAGAACATGGAGATGTGATTGACAGCTTCAAAGGCTGTGAAGAATGCAGCAGCCATAATTTCATTAAGTAGGGGAAATGTTGTTGGGTATGGTGCATTGCCAAGGCCCATACTTGTTTAAGAGAGTGGGTGATAAGAAACTTTAAACAACCATTTCAACCTTACTACCCTAGATTAAATCCTAACCCTTCATTGGGTTTAAGTGATCTAATCTGGAGTGTACACTTGTCACTCACACATACATTTAAATAAAGAAACTAGTCATTGGAGGCTAAACCCTATTTCTTCTTCTTTCTTTCTTCAATGCAGACAACAGCCATGCTCGGGAGCTCCTTGTTGCCTTCGATCCCTTGACTTCAGAAGCTGTTTAGCTTCCAACAGTCTCATTTGTCTCAGCCTTAGGGAGAATTGTTTCCTATGTAAAGGTAGGTGGTTATCCCCAAAAGAGGGTTTCATACAAGGGTTCAGTTTTAGAACATATTGAAATTGTAATACCTCAGAATTTTTGGCCAACTCTTGGGGATTTGAAGTCTTCATGATGGCTGGAGGGAATATTGTGTAGCCAACCTCAAGTACAGTAACCTCAGTTTCAATAATGACTCTATCATTCACCACATAACCCTTACTAGGGTTCCAAAACTCAGTAAGAGGAATAAAATTTGTGTATCCCCAGTCACTTTCAATTCCACTGAACTTGTGTTGTGTGTCTGCAACAATATACAAGAAAAACGAGAATAAGGTTCGGAAAGAAGCATATATAAAAAAATACATGGTTCTTATTAACAAATTTCAAATTATAACTCTGCTAATTCGATCCAAACATATCAAATCAAATGCAAGCAGTCTACGATGATAGTTTTACAGTTAGTGAGAATACCATCTATCCGAACTTTAAAAAGCAACAGATGTGTCAAGTTTTTATTTTTTGTGAATAAGGTCCGTGATGAGACCGAAGTAAAACAAATGAAACACTATTACCATTTCTTTTACAGTTTCAAAATTTAAAAAACGTACAGCCAACACTCCCCTCAGGTAATTAAATCTCTCATTCGGTAATGCTTTTGTGAAAATGTCTACGATATGATCTTCTGTGCTGCAATAAATTAGCTTGATTGTGTTGTCCTGCAATGCCTTTATGATGAAATGATATCTTCTTTTGATGTGCTTTGTTCTTTGATAAAATATTGGGTTTTTTGCCATGGCAATTGCTGAGGTGTTGTCACGCAGAAGTGGTGTGGCTTCAACCTACAATTCGCCAAAGTCTTTGAGTATAAACCTTAGCCAAGTAGCTTGAGCTGTAGCTTCTGATGCACTCACATACTCTGCCTCAGCTGTGGACAATGTAACACTATGTTGCTTCACAAAGGCCCATGAAAACACACCTGAACCAAAGGTGAAAGCATAGCCTGATGTGCTTTTGCTATCATCTTCACTGCCACCCCAGTCACTGTCACACAATCTAATTAGGATAGTTGACTTCCCCATCTCATACTTGATCCCATAATCAAGTGTTCCTTGCATATATCTTAGGACCCTCTTAGCTATTCCCATGTGTATTTTGCTAGGATTTTGCATAAACCTAGAAAGTAGGCTTGCTGAGAACATTAGATCCGCCCTTGTTATAGTTAGGTACAATAGACTGCCAACAATGCTTTTGTAGAGACTAGCATCCATAGGTTCACTTCCACCATCCTTAGGCTTCTCATTTGCAATAGGGGTGTAAAGACCGGTTTGCATCCCTTCAATCCAAACTTTTCAAGCAAAGTTTCAGCATACTTTCTTTGATGAATGAAGATGCTACTAGCTTTTTGAATTACCCCAATGCCAAGAAAATGACGCAAGAGGCCTAGGTCATTCATTTCATACCTCTTCATCATCTCTTTTTTGAATTCTTCAATCATTGTAGCATCATTTCCAGTGTGACAACATCATCCACATAGATTGAGATAATGAGTGTCTTATTGTTGCTTTTTGTCTTGGTGTAGAGTGTAGCTTCACTAGGACTTTTATGAAATCCTTTCTTAGTGAAATAAGAATCAATCTCACTGTACCATCGGGGCTTGCTTTAGGCCATAGAGTGCTTTCCCTAGCTTGTACACCTTCTCTGGAAACTCTTGACCTGTGAACCCTTGAGGTTGTTCCACAAACAACTTCTCATCTACCACTCCATTTAGAAATGCAGATTTAACATCCAATTGATCCAGCTTCCAACCCTTCTTGGCTGCTAGGGCTATCAAGTCCTTATGGTGTTTAACCTTGCTACTGGTGCAAAGGTTTCATTGAAGTCTACACAAGGCTTTTGTGAGTAGCGTTTTGCTAGCAATTTTGCCTTGTTCTTCTGCACATAACCATCTAGGTTGAGCTTGACTTTGTACACCCATTTCACTTCAATCATAGGTTTGTCACTTGGTCGATTGACAAGTTCTTAAGTGTTATTCTTCTCAATCATTTTAAGCTCTTCCTTCATTGCTTTCTTCCAAGCTTTGTCTTTCTCAGCTTCTTCATATGTTTCTGGTTCCACTACACAGTAGTTACATGTAGCATATATCTTATCCAAGCTTTTCAACCTCACTGGAATTGAACTTGGAGTTGTTATCTATGATTGACTTGGTTGTGGACTCATGCTTGCTTGTTGTGGAGACCCTTGTGTGTCACCATTCTCTGTGGTTTCTTCTTGAATTGAGGTTTCCATAGGCTGCCTTGTTTGCCCATTGTTGAGGTCAAGTTGTAGAAAGACACTATCTTTCTCTTCTAAACTTGTTTCCCAATTCCATGTTGAGTCTTCATCAAAGATAACATCTATTGACAGGATTATCTTCTGAGTTGACAGATTGTAAACTTTGTACCCTTTCTCACTAGTACCATAGCCCACAAAAACACCTTTGTTACATGATTTCTCCAACTTGTGTCTTAGTTGTTTAGGAATGTGGGTGTAGCACACTGAGCCAAACACTCTTAGATGCTTCATAGATGGCTTTCTGCCATTGAACACTTCAAATTGAGTCTTCTTGTCCAATGCTTTAGTAGGGCACCTATTCAATAGGTACACTATAGTATTCACTGTTTCACCACTAAATGTATAGGGCATGTTCTTCTTATGTATCATAGACTTAGCCATTTATACTATAGTCCTATTCTTCCTTTCTACAATGCCATTAAACAACCACGTGCAAAAGACATTTTTAAATCATAGCACGTTACGCGCGACTTATAGGATGTTTTGAACACAATATTCATGATTTATTTTTTATTTTTTATTATATTTTTCTTTCCCATTCACGCGGACACCATTAACTTTCACTCATCCTTTCATTTTTTCATTTTTTATTCTTTTCTCTCTTCCCACTTATATTTATATTAAATTTTATGATAATCAAATTACCAAATTACCCCTGCATTATTTGATATATTATATTGGGCTGGTTTTGGATTTTTTTGGTTGAGGGGCAGTTTTGACCTAATATTTTTGTTGATACCATGACACCAAATTCCCACTGTTCACTGCCTTTCTCGCAATTCAATAATATTTTCTCGTTTGTGTACAATATAATATAAGAAATGTTAAGGATATTCTCGTAAAAGTGTGACTTTGTGTGAACTTTCTAACCCCTCATTTTTTGCATAATGTTTTATAATATTCGCACAAAAAATAACGTTAAATTGTGAGGTGATAGAGATTTATATAAAATTTCATTTTAAAAAATCTCCTTAACATTTTTCATATAATGTTGCAGCCTTAATTTCATTTTTGCCCATTGTTTATTAAATTGATAGTATAATTGTCATTTTGATCCTTATGTAACATAATTTTTCACGGAATGACCAAATTGATTGATAGTGGACAATCTCTGTAAAACCCCATAAAAAAAAATATATATAGTTTTATATAGTTATATGGAGCTTGTGAAGGTTTAGATGGGTTAAAGTGGGTTGTGTGTAAAAAAAAAGACAAGGAATGGAGAACATGTGTGTATAAGATGATCCCTTCATCTTAAGGTGTTTCGGTGCACTGCTTCCAAAAGGGCAGAAAGGAAGAGAAACAACCATGGGTTCTCTTTAGGTGTCGAAGAAAGAAAAATGTATAGGTTAATCTTTAGACATCAAAATTGCAATCCGTTTTTACCTCTATGATCACAACGTCAAGCTCGACGAAAGAAGGTAAGAATTCAAAGCTTATTTGCAACTTCGAAATTATATTTTAGTTGGGGATTTCATGTTAATAACTTTGAAAATTCATTTTTGAAGTGCTATATGGTTGATTGAGAGTTTTGGAAGTCTCAAGGCTGGTCGAACAATATTATTGACGAAGATAGAGGCAAAATTTTACTTGATTTGGAGTTATGGAATTCAATTGTGCATTGGTTGTTAGATGGCATCTGAGATATGGCTTCTGAATGGATTTCATGGAAGGTTAATTAAACTGGGATTCATGTGAATAAATATTGGATTTGGTTATTTTGGGTATATACATGCACTGTGCAGATTGAATTGAGAAGTATTAATATATGTTGGTGGATGTGAATTGTGTATTGACATGTTCTTTTTCGGATTAGGCACTTTGTTTGCTTAAGCAAGATCAAGTGATAAGAGTGGACAAATGTGGAAAGAGTTAGAACCTGAAGCTTGGAATATCAGGTAGGGGAATTCACACCCTGGTTAGTGGTTTTCGGTATGTATTATATATGTAAATATGGATATGTGCAAGCTATGCATTGGATTTTTTGTCGTTGTTAGAACTACATGTTACGAAAAGGAGTTTGATTTTTCTAGCATGTGATTTATGTTACTCTATATTGTAATGACAACTTGAGAGTGAAGGGGCTGTGTGACTACCTTGGGCTTCGATCCCCTAAACCTCTGGAGGGTCCTATACAAACGGACTTGTACCATTCACCTAAAGGGAGGGTACTTGTGTCTATGTGGTATAGGTTGTAAGTGGACACGTGTTGATATTACTTGAGAATTTTATTTTAGGTACGGTAGTTGGCTGCGTGTTTGGTTGTCAGGACAAAAGAATGCAAGGATCCCACTAATTATGAGCATGAAATAAATTTTAACTCGTGCCAAAGCATTTTGTTGTGCAAATTGTTTCCTTTATACATAGTACAAGGGTATATCTATTTTCAAACCTAGCTAGGGTGCCTCCCGAAGGGGTGCAAATGATTGTATGTGATGCTCACCCTTACATTTTCAAGTGCGGTGAGAGAAATAATGGAAGAGTTGGACTAAGGTGTGCGGCTGTAGCTTGTCAACCTCAAAGCTTCGAGTCAGAAAATCAGCTTTTGAAATGTAAATATTGATTTTCTGGTTTCAGTGAAAACTGTCTGTGTATAGCCTCTTTTGCTTCTGTATATATTTATCTAAACCTATCACTCCTTTGGCTTTTTGTAAACTAAACTTTTGGGATTTTTGTTGTAAAAAGGTTGCTTATGAAATGGTTTGAATGTTATGATTTTTACTTGAACTATGATATTTATTTTGATATTAATTTTAGAGGCCTTGCGTATCTTAAAGATACAGGAGAACTGTCATGTTCTAAGAATGGAGCATACAACTCTCATGCGTTTTTAAGATTCGCGGCGCTATCGTGTTACATTTTTGGGTCGTGACAGAAAAAATGGTATCAGAGCATGGTTTATAACATGTTTTAAAATAACAAGCAACCAGAAAAAAAAAATTTGGTATTTCAAAATTATTGCAACATTTGTTTTCTTTGAGTCATTTGTTTTCTTTCGATATACATTTTCTTGAGACATGCATTTTGTTTCAGTTATCGATTTTGTTAACAAGATGCCGTCACAACTTGAAGACAACCCTCACACACAACAAAATGCCCCTGATAAGCATCATGTCGATCTACCCAAGCGAAATGAGGAAGAAAAAAAAAGTGAGCGAGAAGTTACCTATCTCGATCGTTTCCTGAAATTGAAGCCTATGAAGTGTGGTACACCTGATTCTGACAAGGCGAAGACATGGATCAAGAACATAAAAAAGAAGCTTGATATTTTGAAAGTGCCAGCTAAGAATAGAATTAAGTTAGCTACTCATGTAATGGAAGGTGAAGCTGACTCATGGTGGGATACCGTATGTGATCAAAATACAGATAAAGAAATGACTTGGAATGATTTCGAGCAACATTTCTATGATCGATACTTTCCGGTTGCTCTGAAACGAACAAGAATTAAAGAATTCTTTAAGCCGGAGCAAGGCAATATGACAGTGGCTGAATATGTCTCTAAGTATACAAAGTAGGGTAAATATGCTTAGGCTCTAGTAGGTGATGAAAATATGAAAGCAATAAAATTTATGTTGGGCTTGAAAGATGGCATCAGAAGGTATATTGTGGGTCAAGGAACAAAGACTTATAGGGACATTGTAGATGCTGCTTATGCACTTGAGCAAGACCATCTTAGCTTTTTGAAGAAGAAAGCCTCAACTGGTGCATCAGGAGGAAACAAGGGTAAAACGAAGGTGAGAAAAGAATCTGAAAGTTCAAGTGGCAGTAGAAGACCAAGCAAAAGGCAAGGTGGCCTCGAATGTTACACTTATGGTGAATTTGGGCACATCAGCCCAAAATGTCCCAAAAGAGAAGGTTTTGGTTCTGCAGTTGTTAATCGACCTCAAGTTCAGCAAGGAGCTAAAACAGAAACGGTTCAACAACCATTGAAAAAAAACCAATATAAAGTTTCACTATGTAAACTGGTTTACGTGATAACATTGATTTATTAAAAACGATTCAGATGAATTATAAATTTTAACAACTCAAAAATCCAAGGGCAGCAAACAACAATTAAAAAAAAAAAAAAAAAAAAACCGATAAATCCCCAACACTCAAAAGCTAAAAAAACCCAGAAATCCCTAAATACCTAGATCTCATCAACAAAAGGCAGAATCTACAACAGCTGGAAAAACTTACTAAAAATCACTTGCTTCGTTTCAAAAACCAAAAAAAATAAAATAAAATAACTATTCATATCTGCAAAGAACATCTAATAGAAACTGAGAAAAACAAAGCAAAGCAATTAAAACAGTCTTATAATATAAACAGAGAAGAAACAAAACAAAGAGATTTTAGAGATTTTTATTTGGTATATATATTATTTCTCATCGATATTTTGTCTAAATTATTATATAAAATAATGAATAGCTAATAAGACCTTATAATTCTTCTGTACATTGAAGCCCCTCTTAAGAATCCACTGCTTTTCCTGTAAAGACCGCATTATGTTAGTAATCGATTAGCATTTAAATGCTGTTGTATATATAAATCTACCGAATGCATGATTAGTAGCATGAACTAAAACAACATGATTTGACGGTTAAAATGGTCAGCCAAACTATATGTGAAAAAATGCTTACCCAAGTAAACTAAAGATTCATCATTTGATTGAAAATCCCCAACTAATCAAAGAAAAACCAAAAATTATAAAATAAAATCGGCATATAGTATGGTAAATAGTCAGATCAAATTGACACATAAGCATATCAACGTTGCATCGTCATAGGTACATCGTTAGCAATGTTTCTTTCCTGATCCAAACATAAACATGAATCAATTAAAAGCGTTAAAAATGAAATATCACTTCAATCTTAAAACTAGAAACCAAATGGTTATTAAACTGCCCCTAAAGGAATACACATTTTGGATTTATTAAATGGAGTTTTTCAAAATCTTTAACTAAGTGAAACTAATATACAAATAAAGTGCATATATAGGGACCAGAGATCACTGGAAACTACATGCTTAACAATCTTTTAAGCACCACAGTAAGTTAACAGTGTTAGAAGACAAATATTATTGGAATTGTTGAATGAACACATAACTGAACCCATTTTCGTCTTACCTCGCGATTGTTTGCCCAAATAATTACCAAATTTCCAAGTGATAAATCAAATATATAACTATTACTATAATGCACTACCATTTTAAATTACCATGGCAAAAGAAGGAAAAGTAACATTGTGAGGTGAAAAATATAACTGAGAGTAGAGTATAATTAACCATTTTAATGTTCCTGTCAATTATGTCTAAAAGAATGTCCATGTCCAGTGCATTCTTTCTAATAATTGACACAAAAGTAACAAATATGCAGCCATTTCATGTAATTCGAAGAGGAACAACCATATACCTGAGTTTTTTTTTCAAATGATTGGCCACCCTCTCCCCAAATCCACTGAACATAAAATTCTCATGCGCTCATTTGCTCCATGTTCTGCCTTGCTCCCATTCATTTCCTTCTCTTTCTCCTTGTTGGAGACTCTAATTCAAGTAAAATCATTCAAACAACTCAAATGATACATTCAAACAACTCATCTCTCTTGATTGATTGGTACCAAATGAAGGCCATAATACTTATTTGTAATTTAATTAACTAAAAAATTAAAAACACTTGAATGAATTTAACAAATCGGTGAGCAGTAGTATGTAATTAATTAGTATTCTTGAAAAATATATACCTACTGCTTATCCAAGATATAATTCAATGTCGAATCGAAATCAATATTCATATGAACTAATTTAAACAATAAAAATAACGAATTGAATGATTTACCCAAGATATAAATTAACATCACCAACTTGCCTAAACTAAAAACTTACATTGGTGAAATATAAAACCCAAAGGCAAAGTATTCCCTGCAATTAATTCAAACGACATTGACAAAAAATTCCCAAAAAATCAATATTCTTACAGCCACTTTTATCATATTTTATAAACACACAACTTATCAAACAAAAAGAGGGGTTAAGAAAAATACCCACTAATCTCACGAATCTGCTCCAAAATGATTTCTCCAAGCACCCAAGTGATGCAAAAATTAACTTAACACACAAATTAAACCCTCTTTTTATCAAATGTAGTAAAGTATGTAAGTAGGGATCGTTCTAGGCCGGGGATTAGGAGGGATTGCTAAATCACTTGGAAACTGACTTGAAAACGTAAAAACAAAGTTTAAAACACCAAACTAGACTCAAAGAATGCAAAACTATACTTTAAAATACTAAGATAATAAAAAAGATTCAAAACAGCAAATAAACACTCAAAACTGCCTTAAAAACACTTTCTGGGCAGTTTTGAACACCTAACACTAAATTGGACGAAATTGGGTTATGACTTGACTCAAGACACTTACAAAAAACACAAACTATAGTAATTACTACTAATCTAACACTTTGAAATAAATGGGAGATTGGTTCTTGACGAATTTGAAAACAAAACAAACTTTGTAAAACAAAACAGATTGTAAATGAATTTGAATGAAACTTATGGATGGAAGGCTAGCTAGGAGGTTCTTCTCCACACATGTCACACTTGCATACAAAATGATTTCCAATTGCTTTTCGATAAACTATGAATACTCAACGCCCCAAATTAACCGTGAATTGCATTAATTAACCCTCAGTTTTTCCACAAGTTATTGGGTTGGATGATTGCATACGACAACCCAAAACATTCCCTACAAGTTCCCTACATGAATTCCATAATAGAGACACAAGCAAGAATCATTAAGTTCTATGAAAAACATAAGCATTGACGAGGCACTCGTTACTATGATTTGCATGAAACTTATGCCAAGAATTTACTTAACGTGATTGTGACTAGCAACCTTCACTACTTGTGAATATAAGTTCATAACGATTAGGTGAAACTCCCTTATATTCTAGCGTCAAATTCATGCATGAAATTAGGCGTGCACTCTCAACCAACATACACAAATCAGTTTTTATACGAACGGATAAGTAAATTGAATTCACAACTTATGAATCACAACTGGATGTAATCAAATCATATTGCAAGCATGAACATAGTTTCGAATCACCCCCTAACTAAGAGGGGTTTAGTTCCTCATGCTCGCAATTACACAAAGATAACTTAAATTAAACATTGAAATCAAAGATAGAAAACACCTAGAAACGCTCCAACACTCCCAAGGCTTGGGCATAGGCACGACACAAGATGTTCCTTCTCCTTCCTTCCTTGCAATAGTCACGGCATAAGAGATTTAGAACAGGTTTTGGGTGGTTTTTATGGTGTAGAATGGATGGGGAATGGTATGGAAAGGTTTAGGGTTGATGGGTGGTGTGGCTAGGGGTGGTGTTTGGCTGAATTTTTAGAGAATGGTGATGGAGAGGTGCGGCTAAGGTAAGGGATCAAAATCTGTTATCTTTGATGAATATGGGAGGTGGTATTTATAGGCTTGAGAGAGGACCATTCCATTTCCTTTGCATGTGTAGCTTGTGTGGGTGTGAGTTGTCATGTTTCCCCTTTACATTTATACACACATGCTTCATCATTTTAACCACAAAACACACCATTTTTCTGCCCATGCCGTGTGCTCCCATGTGTGTGTTGCAATGTTCTTCTCTTTGCCATGTGTTTGCTTTCTTTGCCATGTGTTTGCTGCCATGTTATCATCCTAGCTGTTGCACTTGCACACACACATGTTCTTTGCATCATTTCAACCACAAAACACACACATTTTCTGCCATGTTTTCCCCTTTACATTTACACACACCTGCTTCATCATTTCAACCATAAAACACACCATTTTTCTGCCCATGCCGTGTGCTCCCATGTGTGTGCTGCAATGTTCTTCTCTTTGCCATGTGTTTGCTGCAACAAGGGGTTTATTTAAAGGGATAAAGGAAATAAAATCCTAGGTTAACTAGGTAAACAGAAATTAAGTCTAAAGCTTCTACAATTTAGGGAAACAAATCAGAAATTTAAAGGAAATAAGCTAAAAGGTGTGGCAAGGCTTTAAAGTAGATTAGGAAAGTGTTTAAATGCAAGATTTAGGAAAGAATGACTCTTCCTTGCACGGCAAGGAAGAGTAATGGCAAGGGTGGAGCACACGGCTGGTTGCTTATTTTTGAACACTTCGTTCTTTATTTGTCTTGAATCCAATTCTCACATCATCATTCAATCCTATGCTCATTTGATCTTCAATTTCGTCCATCTTCTTACTTCCAAGCATATGCAATCCATTTGATGCACAAAAACTGCTCCAAATGACTCCAAAATGCACATGTATGCATTCTTTGTCCTTAAAACCTGAAAACACATAAAAGTGACTTTAAACACTAAAATAACTAAAGAAACACAACGTAAACGTACGAGAACAAGCCAATTAAGTCGCATAAAAATGCTCCTATCACCAAGTAGCAGCAAATGGCTTCATACCGTGTGCTTCATGGCTCGAAGTAGCAACCCTCGAACCCTTTTCAATTCAACACAAATTACAGCAACAAAAACCTACAAAAAAGTTATATAAGGCAATTAATAAAAATATTAAAAGAAAAAAAAATAGAGAATCACCAAATCCATTTTTCAATCACTTAAAATAATACGGCTGCAATTCCTAAAACAAAAAATAATTTGCAGAAAGAAAATTAGAAAAATTGAACTTGATAACAGTCTACCTTAAGAAACCCCATTACTGAGTAACAAACAATATTGAGACATAATTTGGTGAATGTATATGGTGGACAAATTTAACAACTCTAGTATTGTTAACAAAGCTTCAACCAATACAACAGAAATCAAATCAATATATACCTGCATATCCCTAGTCCGAATTGTACCCTTGTTGTAACAACCCGAAATTTCTAATTTAGAAGCCAAACACACAGGTAGGCCACAATAAAATAATGGTTAATTGTAATTCTAACTAACTACACTAAAAAAAATAATCATTTTGTTTAATTTATGGCTGCATCTAACATCTTGGTTAGACTGCCTACGTACACTAAATGAAGGGATCAAGCCATTCATAGTTCACCTTATTCTTCTAGAACAACATACTAAAATTTCATTCCGATCCAACAGTCGGATCTCCGCCAATCACGAAATCAAGTGGCGGTCAACGTTTTATTTTACAAACTTGCAAATCTAATTTGGGAAGATCCTTATGTAGGATTTCTGATCCGTAAGTTCCTAAGGTCCTCAAATATTACGTATGATAAGGTCTCAAATTTTGGTGACGATCCAACGGTCGGATCGCTGATTCATAAATTGATCAAGTAAGGTATCATAGTGAATTTAGGTTCAAACAATCAACCTACGTCATACGAATATCAAAACAATCAACCTACATCATACGAATATCAAAACAGAAATCAAGGCATCCAATTTAGCCTAAAAATAGCATCGACGACCCTTTGGCCACGCACCGCCGCAGGTGGCGGTCGGCCACCCCGACTCACCTGAAAATTTCAACTATTTCCAAAAATTCTCAAATTTTATAGAAATGAAGATCTCAAAGAATAGAGCAAACTTTATACTTATGGCCAAGTCCAATTTGGTCGGAAAGGGCTCCAAATTGACTCGAACCCACAGGAAACCCTTGATTTGGGTAGTTGTCTATTTGTCACCAAAATGAACTTCGTCACCTCATCAAAGGCTTGGGCCTTGCTCCTGGGGTTGAGAAGAGTCTTTTGGTGGTAGTCATCGATGGTGAATCTCACCAGAGCCACTGGAAAAGATTAAAGCTGCCGGAAAAGTCATGGACTTTGTGGCTTTGAACTAGAAAAATGGGAAAGAAATTGGGAAATCTAACACTACAGAGATGTAGGGCTCGTCAAGGGCTTTCCATGGACACCAAGATCACCCAAAATGGAGTTCGTATGGGAGATATGAGCAGGTCAATTTGGCGGGTCAGGTGGAGAAACCGGGTTGGCCGGTTCTCTCATTCTCCCTTCCCTTCTTTCCCTCCTTTCCTTTCTCCCTCATTGGCCGGTGCCATTCCTCCTTTTTATCATTTCTCTTCTCTCCTTTTCATACCAACCATCCATGTGTCATCACAGATAATGGCTTCAGAGATCTGGTGCCATCCAGATCAAGCCAAAATTACAAAAATGTCCCTAACTTTAAACGTTAGTAACTCTTTCATTATAACTCCGTTTCACGAACGGTTTCGCCTACGAGCTCGATCCAAATATGCAAGAAATTTGATAAAATATATGAGGATAAAATACATCCTCGTATAATTATGTTTAGTTAACGAGAAACATTTTTGTCATTTCACTTTTCGAAAAAAAAAAATTTCACATAATCATAGATTTTAAAATTTTCAGGGTATTACATTTGTGCCCTGCAATGTCTTGGTGAGTGATTCTTGTCTGAAATCCAAACAAAACAAAATTTGTAATTTTAGTTTCCAACACAAAACCTTCACAACACACAAAAAATCAAAACTCTCATCAATAGAAAATCAAAAGGAAAACTTGAAATTATATACCTGAAGCACAAATGGTTTGCAAACGCGTAGACTGAGATGAGTGCCAAACTTGCTTCAAGGCGCCTAAGGACTTGTGCCTTCATTTCCTCTGTGGGCTGGGGTGAATACTACCAATGGATCTGGTGAATCCTTGAATAGTCGTCCCTCTGCTAACCAAAAAGAAGCCATTGGTGCGGATAAAACAACGACAGGGTGGAAGGTTCCTAGGAGAGATTTGGCAAGTTGTGCAGAGATGGAGATGGAAAAGGAGAAGACAGCACGTCCCAAATTGAAAAAAAAAATGTGAGAGAGAAAGAGCGAGAGACGAACCTGATTTGCTTGCTGATGACATACGCG